GGCAGCACATTTATTAGGCTAACATAAGCATGACTTTTGAGGCATAATAGAAGCCCCCTAGTTTTTGAAGTGCGTAATCGCGCTTTAGAAACTCAAGTCTTTGATCTGAATGGTTGTAGTCTCGAACTGAAGAACTCGACCTAAAATCTGTTAGGAAAACGACCTGAAATCTGGTAAGAAAACGACCTAAAATCTAGTAGGAGCATGACCTGAAATCTGTTAGAAGCACGACCTGAAATTTGTTAGAAGCTCGACTTGAAATCTGGTAGAATTGTGACCTGAAAGGTCATAACAAGCTCAATTTGAGCAAAACGAGCTCAACTTGAGAGCAAAACGAGCTCAATCTGAGCTAAACTAGCTCAACTTGAGAGCAAAACGATCTCGACCTGAGAGGTCAAAACGACCTGAATGAACAAAATGAGCTTAATCTGAGAGATCAAAACGACCTCAACTTGAGAGATCAAAACGAGCTCGACCTGAGAGGTCATAACGAGCTCGACCTGAGAGATCATAACGAGCTCTACCTAAGAGCGCAAGAGATCATCGATCTCAGCGTGTGATCAGTGATCTAAACACGAGATTTGAAGCTAAAGATCAGCGATCTGAAGCCAAGGATCAGGACGGCATGGGCGTGCAATCTGCGATCTGGCCACGTGGTTGGAGAATTCTGAAGCGTGCGATCTGGCCACGCGATCGAAGAATTCCAACGCTTGCGATCTACGATCTGGCCACACGATTATCTAGCCACACAATTGGAGAATTCTGACGCAGGTTTGAGATCTAAGCACGCCATCAAGGAACTTGGATGCAGGTTTGAGAATCGGACCTGCATGGGCCACCAAACTGTTAACGCTTGATTTTGGACGCCAACTACTTGCACGTGAGAAGCGTTAAGCAGACTTAGGAATCACACGTGATGGATCCATGAGATTTGAATATGGAGCTGAGATTATATATATTGTAGAAAACATAAATAAAAGATTGGCAAGAGGGGTTTTTATCCTAGTTAGTAAATTCGCGTTTTATACGTGAATTATACGGCTAGCTGTATAATTCCCGTATAAAACGCGAATTCACGTTTTTTATTAGGGCTACCGTATAATTCGCGAATTATATACCCTATCCGTATAATTCGCGAATTATACGCGAATTTTTGCCGAATTTTTGCAAACAAAAAAATAATTAAATGATAAGGCAAAACGACGTCGTTTTGGTTGGGTTTGACTAAAATTAAAGAAAATCTCATTCCTCTTCCTCGGTTCTCTCTTCCACAGTCTTCATCTCTTCTTCAAATCTTCAACAATTCAACTCTTTTTTCTTCATCTCTTGACTCTTTTGAGTCTTAATCTCTTCTTCTCTTCTCTTTTTAACTCTCTTCTCCAAGCTTTAAGTCCAAGACTTCAACTCTTCAAGCCTCAAGCTACACACTTCTTCTCTTCTCTTTTTAACTCTCTTTGAATCTTGTATGTTGGTGATTTGTTTGTGTTTGTGCTGGTGTGTGAGTAGTAGTAATAGGGGCTGGTGGATTGATGGATTTGTTATGTTGGTGGATTGATAGATTTGTTTGAAATATGTTTGATGAAATGCTTGTGAGAGTTATATTTGGTATCTGTTTTAACATAATATTTCATTTAGTTCTGTTGTTTTGTGTTGTATGGGTCAAAATGAAAAGACTAAAGATCATCTATGAAAGCAAAAGGTAAAGGCAAAACTGCAAAAGAAAAGCATGAATTCATAAAAATAATATTGTCGGGCTTGGATTTGGAATTGGCAGATACTTAAAGAAGAAGAAAAAAACAACAAACCATCAGCTTGCAACCAACGCCAACTGCAAATTGTAAACCCATGTGCACTCTGTCATGTTTTTAGATTTCATAACACTATTATTATTTGACCTTTGAATGCACTATCCAATTAAATTCAGAACATAAAATTCAGAAAATAAAACAACTATACTAATTGGAACCCAAATTTTGTATGCGTAGCTATAAAATTACGGATAAAAATACTAGTCTTAGTTATTGTTCAAATATACTTTAAATAAAAAGGAAAATAAATTGTAGGGTCGACCACAATTTATTATTTAAATTGGGATGTTTTGAAAAGTGTTAAAACCAAGATTGCTATTGCCATATTTTTCAAAACGTATTATTGACAATGTGTCGTATTAAACCCGTATATATCCGAATCGTATTTTTTCCGTATCCGAATTTTATGACCGAATTTTTACAAACGTATTTTTCACCATTTGCCGTATTATACCCGTAAAATTCTCGTACTGTTTTTTTGCCGTACCCGTATTTACTAACTAGGGTTTTTATAGTGGTTCGGATGTAATAAGCAACTCCTACATCTACTGTTATTTTATTGATCTCTGAATATTTCTATGATTTTGCCCGTAAGGCATACAAAGATGAAGAAATACAGTGTTTACAAAGAGAGAATGAAATGAAGCTCAAATCTCAACCCAACCTCCTTCTTCGGGAAGAGGAGTGCCCATTTATACACATTTGCACTCAATGTAATGAGTGTTTTGCAAGTTGCCTTGACACATGGAAGACTCTCGTCCATTCATTTCTTGAAATGAGATAGAGTTGGTGTGAATATCTTTGAGGAGATATGAGCTTAAACATTTATTAGACTGACATAAGCGTGACTTTTGAGGCATAACAACAAGAAACTATCTTCTCTTGATATCAACATAAGACCTCGCAAACACCGAAGATCAAGAAAGAATGATTTTCTTTGATCTAATGCTTTGGTGCCTAGAGTTTATTATTTTGTTGCGTGCTTAATAAAAAATAAAAGAAAATATTTATTTTCATAGGCAAACCCTAGGTCTGTGTGACATGTGCCATAATGAGAAAATTAAGGAATATCTTTAATTAATTTCATCAAAACCATTGTTTAATCAAAGAGAACATTACATAATCAAGAGCTTTTTACTCACCCAGGATTAAGGTCCATATGCTTGTTGCAAATGTGTGGAATTTTAAGCTTTAGTTTCGGCATTTACACATAAGCTTCAAATTTCACATGGTTTAGTTCAATGCATCCCAAAGGCACAAGTGCATGTTTACAAAAAGTCAACTCTTTAATGACTTGAGATTGGCCACTTAAATATGAAAACATTTTTCTTTTTTGTGGAATATATATTAATATTAATGATATAAGATTGTTAGAAATTCACGTGCAAAAACAATAATAAAATTTGGGATTAATATGTATGAATATTAATTACACCATAGAAAAAGACATTAGAGTTAACTTGTTATCAAAAATATCCAAACTTTTTGATAATGTAGCATGAACGATGAAATACGACGATAAATGATTTGCAATAATTGGTTACTTAAACGTCATTTCAATGTCAAAGGTGAGATACAAACTTTAAATATATATTATATTATTCATAAATTAAAGTCTCATTAAAACTGAAATTTGTCAAAAAAAGGTATTTTAAGATTATGAAATCATCATAAAATAAAATTTGTCTGTTTCTAATTAAAGAAAAAAAAAAAGAACTTCGATGAAATTTGATCTTACAAAAATGTAAATCATATGTAAATATTAAGTAAGAATGAAATTATATAAACAAACTCTTTGTTCCTGCTATTAACCTCTCTAAAATATCTATTTTGAGAATTAAATCATTTTTTATGGTACTTTGCAACTATTTCCGAGGAAATAAATTAGAAAATTGGAATTCTGTATTTTAAAGTTTAGAAACAGATTCGGTATCGCTTTTGAAAACAGTATTATGAAAATAAAAATGAATGAAAACATGTTTTCTACAAAGTTTTTGAAAAACAGAAAATGGTTCTCTTGGCTATTAGTTCGCAATGTCTTAAAATTAAAAGTATTGTTCTCTCTTATGCTTTCTTTTTCTTTATTTGATACTTATTCTTTTGTAAAAAAAAAAAAAAAAAAAAAAAAAAAAAAAAAAAAAAAAAAAAAAAAAAAGGCGAAAGCAAAAAGCATTGGTGTTTTGAATGGGTGCAATAAAGATGCAAGATAAAATTATATCTGGAATTCAGACCTTAAATGCGATTCACATTATAAATTTTTGTGTTAATCCGTTAAATATGTACTAATGTTTGATTATTATCAAGTAACATAAGTTTTTTTTATGTTTTTAATATTTAAAACAAAAAAGTTTTGGGGTTTTGATATATATAATCAACTCAATAATCACGATTTCTCAACATGGGCAAGTTTTATTTAAAGTACGAATCCAACCATAAAATATAGTGACTTACCAATTATATCCTTAATGAAACCAAAAATACTATATTTTTAGTGTATGACGCTAGACTATGCTAAAATCGATAGTTTAGATCGAATCTAGAAATTTAATAGTATAGTTAGGCAATCTAACTAAAGCATGCTAGACCATGATAGACCACGTTAGATTTGGTACTCTAGCGCATTTCGAGTATTTTTGTTTTTGTAATTTTAATTGAGGGTAATTTGGTTAAATCATGTAATTTTATGGCCAAAGTCTGTCTTTTAAACAAACTCTTGACATTTTAGGAATTAAAATTAGTAAAGATGGTTATAGAATATTTAAAGAGTTTTAGGAAACATTTACTTAAAACTCTAATTCCATCCAATTGGTTACTAACCGTTAGTAAAAGACAACTATACCGCTAATTTGTTTTTATTTAATAGTAAAATTTTTGAAGTTATTAAAATGTATAAATTAAAGCTTTTTTTATTCTAATCAACTTCCTTTGCTTTTCCTTAATTAAAAGCAAAATCTCGTGGGGACGGTTGATTTTATTTTTCTATCATTACGACAAGCATATATTACTTTTCTTTTTGCTTGGCATTTCCATCACCAAGGCAAGTATCTTTTCATCTCTCAGGTTTGTGTATTGATCAAGAAGTCGTTATTTTTATCTATAAACATATGTAACAGGGTCTGACAATCAATTTTACAGCCAGATTTAAAACTTCACCCACTTAAAATTAATTTGTATTACAACAACAAAGAACAAATGGCAGAAGGAATAGCATTTGACATTGCGGGGAAAATCTTTGTAGGCTTGGGGTCCTTGGCTCTCGGAGAAGGCAAATTGGCATGGGGTGTTAAAGATGAGATTCAAAAACTCAAAAACACTGTCAACACTATCAAAAATGTACTTCTTGATGCTGAGGAGCAGCACAGCAAAATGAACCACGTGGTGACAGATTGGATTCAAAGGCTCAAAGATGCATTTTATGAAGCAGATGACTTGCTAGATGATTTTTCTGCTTACCTTCAACGACGAGAGGTAATGACTGGAAATAAAATGGCAAAAGAGGTACGCCTTTTCTTCTCCAAATCTAATCAGATCACATATAGTCTTAAAATGGCTCGTAAGATTAAGGCTATTAAGGAGAAACTAGATGCAATTAATAATGATAGGAACTTCGACCTTAGGGAGAGTCTTGAGGAAAAAAGAGTCATGAACATAGAAAGGGAAACACACTCCTTCATACGTGCAGAAAAGGTTATAGGAAGAAATGATGATAGAAAAAAGGTTATACAACTTTTGTTGGACTCAAACACGGATGAGAATGTTTCAATCATTTCCATATTTGGGTTTGGAGGATTAGGAAAGACCGCACTTGCTCAACTTTTATACAATGATGAGCACATCATAAACTATTTTCAATTAAGGATGTGGGTCTACGTATCTAATACCTTTAATGTGAAAATAATTGTGGAAAAGATCCTAAAATCTGCAACTGGTAAGAAAATTGAAGGACTTGAAATGGATCAATTGCAAGAGTACCTACGGAAAGAAATTAATGGGAAAAAATATTTACTAGTTCTGGATGATATGTGGAATGAAAATCCCAATACATGGAATGAATTAAAAAATTTGTTAATGGATGGTGAAAGAGGAAGTAAGATACTAGTGACTACACGTAATGAGCAGGTTGCTAACAAAATTAAATCTTATGTCTATCCCTTGAAAGTACTAGACGAAAACAAGTCTTGGTCTTTGTTTACAAAAGTAGCCTTTGAACATGAGATAGAGCCAAAAGATTCAGAACTAGTAGAGATTGGAAAGAAGATTGTAGCAAAGTGTGGAGGAGTTCCTCTTGTTATAACGACTATAGGACACTTACTTTATGGTAGTAATAAAAAAGATGATTGGTTGCATTTTAAGGATAATGAAATGTCAAATGTGATTGAAGAAGAAGGTGATATTTTACCATCACTCAAGCTTAGTTATGATCATCTCCCCTCACACTTGAAACAATGTTTCGCTTATTGTGCATTGTTTCCCAAAGGTTATAAGATCAAGAAGCAAAAGCTAATATATCTTTGGATGGCACAAGGGTTTCTTCAAGCCTCAAATAAGGATTGTCCAGAAGATGTAGGTAATAAGTATTTTATGATTTTACTTTTGAGGTCTTTTTTCCAAGATCCTCAATATGATGAATGGGGCAATGTAATTGCATGTAAGATGCATGATCTTATGCATGACCTTGCACAATTAGTGGCAAGAATTGAATGCACCTTACTAACTTTAGGCACGGCTAAAGATGTGGATTTAAGATGTCGTCATGTATCACTTGATTGTGGTGATGTAAAAAGATCATGGAAATTTCCAGTTGGATTATATAATGCCAAAAATACAAGAACTTTACTTTTATTTTATCGATCAAATTGGGGATTTGACTTGGTTGGTGGTTGTGAAATTTTTTCAAGTTATAAGTACTTGAGAACATTGGATTTTGGACAGTTAAAGTTTAAGAAGTTGTTGCATTCAAATGGTAAGCTGAAGAGTTTATTTAGTGAATTTTGGCATTTACGATATCTCAATTTTTCTTATATGCATATTGAAAAACTTTCAAATTCGATGTCGAGACTATGGAATTTGGAAACATTAGACCTCTCCCATTGTGACAAGCTTAAGGAACTACCAAGAGATATTAGAAAAATGGTGAATCTCAGGCATCTTATAAACAAAAAATGTGATTCCTTAATTGGAATGCCACGTGGATTAGGATGCTTGAGTAATATTCAGACTCTGTCACTATTTGTAGTAAGTCAAAGAAAGAAGAAACACAATGGGATAGAGGAATTGAATGGGTTGAACAACTTGAGGGGGAAACTAAATATAAAGAATCTAAAATACGAGGAAAATGGCAAGTTGGCCAATTTAGAAGGAAAGCGATTTCTTCAGTCTCTTGTATTGGATTGGGGGAGAAGTAATAATGGAGAGGTTCAAGGAAGTGATGAATTGGTGTTAGAAGGTCTAAAGCCACACCCAAATTTGAAAAAAATTATTATAAGTTCATTCATAGGTGTGAAGCTGTGTAGCTGGCTTTCCTCCCTCACAAAATTAACTTCAATTAGTATAAAAGAATGTAATAGATGCCAACGTATCCCAGTGTTGGATCAATTACCTCATTTGAAGAGTTTGTCTCTTGCATATCTAGATGTTGTGGAATACATTTCAGATGAAGCAAGTAACAATTGTTCAACATTCTTCCCGTCACTTAAAGAACTGGCACTCTACAATTGTCCTAAATTGAAGGGATGGTGGAGGACAGATGTTGATAACGCAGCAGAGTTGCCTTCATATCCTTGTCTTTCCAAATTAGATATCCAAACTTGCCCCAACTTGACGTTCATGCCGCTGTATCCATCTCTAGAAGAACTAAGGTTGAGTGAGACTAGTTCAAAAACATTAGAACGGACGATGATGTTGATGAATAGAGTGGGAGCATCAACTTCCTCCAGCTTTTCTGCCCATCTCTCCAATTTAAAGTCTCTGCATATTTTTAAAATTCTCGATCTAGAATCTCTACCAGTGGAAATGATGCAAAACCTTACTTCTCTAGTGGATTTGAAAATTTTGTCATGTCCAAGAGTTCCGAAATTGGAAGAAGCTATAAAATCTCTCCGCTCTCTTCAAAAGCCAATTATTAAATCCATTGAAGAAAATGACCCAGAATGGATAAGTCTTCGGAGTATGGTCATTCGTAAAATACCTGATTATAGTTGAATTCAATTGTGAGTTCTTCATCAATAGGTTGATACTTCTCTTCAAATTTGTCAGTCGACCTTTCTTATTGTGTTTGACTTATTTCTTTTTGAGTTAACTAATTTCTTACATTTGTAATGCAGAGCATGGACGACACGGTTTTGGTTTTGGCGGGGGGTGGCGTGTGGTTGGTGATGCAAATTTTTTGGAATTTGTAGTTAATTGGATGGTATGTATCTTACCCCTTCAAATTAGTTTCTTTGAATTCTTTCACTTTTGTATTCATCTAACATGAAATGTCTTGATTCAAAGTTGTGGGCTTTGCAATGCGACATCAACCTTCTTCTCATTTGGGTGTCTCTGAAAATTCAGGTCATACAGCAACGTAATTTTTATTTTCTTCTGATTTCTTGAATTTCCGTAACTTTTATTTTATGATTTCAATGTCAGCCATTTGGAAAATTAATTAAGCAAATTTGTAATCCTCTCATTTCTATAACTTCATTGTTTTCTTTTCTTTTCTTTCAAATGGTTAATGTTTCCATTGTTAGTCTATTTGCAATGTGATGCAAGCACATTTTACTCAATCAAAACAACATTGCAGGTGTTGTCTGATTTATTGCTGCTTCGACAATTTGCAGACGCAAGAAATATCAACTATCTGGGTAATATGTCTGATTTTTTTGTTTGCTAAGATTGAAGAAAAAATTACTATTGTGTAAATATTTTAAACAGAATATTTTCCGGTAAAAAGAAAGAAAGACGTTTTTTAAACTTTAATCTAACTGGGAATTGCGCCAGGGTAATTTCAATCATTATTTGTGATTTTGCATGCGACAAGTTTTAGAAAGAAATGGCCAAAAGCAAGTTATAATAACTTTAATAGTGTAGAAATTACTGTTAATTACATTGATAATGTTGCTCCTCATTTTGATAATGTAAACAGCTGTGGCTTGCAATAGCAGAGCATTGATGCAACGCTTCCAAAATTATAACTTTGAATAAAAGGTGAACTTTTATCCACCACAGATTTCGTTATTTTAGAAGCATCTCTTCATTCAATTAGATTTTTAGTTTGCTCAGATTCTTTGACCTGACAATTTGATATAGTAAACGACATATTCCCACCCAAGGTTTGGCGAAATTGCAAGTTCCTACCCCTGGTTTCATAAATTGTAGATTTTTATCCTTAAATTAACACCGTTATTTTTCTCTCAAAATAATCCCCACATCTCAAATTTATCTCAAATAACCCCCAGAGGAGATTCTGACCAAGCCAAAAATCTGGTCTGATTCCAACACCATTGGACCTCCCCGACACCACCATCTGCATCCCCTTATCCTCCTCACCAAAACCCCTAATTTTTCCACCTGATTGCACCTCAGCGAGGTGCTGGAATTTGGTTGAAAGGTGCAACAAAATGCAAAAACCTAAGGGAGAGGTTGCAATGATCAGCAGGCAATTGTGGTCGGCAATGTTGGGGGTTTTGATGGGGAGAAGTCGGTGATGCTATTGGTGTTGGGGGTGGTTTCCAGTGTCGGGACCTGCCAAAATTTGGATGAAATACTAACTGAAACTAAGAGCGGTGGCCGGCAATTGGGGGTTCAATTAGGCAAGGAGGTTAGGGATTTGATTTGGGGTTGAGGGGATTGTAATGGTGGTGTCGGGAGGGGTTGACTGGGTTGGGAACAGGTCGAAATGGCCTGAAATCGCCGGTGGGATGAATTTGAGAAGTCAAGGGTTATTTTAAAATTTGTTGGTAGGGTGAATTTGAGAAGTGAAGGGTTATTTTGAAATTTTTATCTTTGAAATGACCACTTCACCTTTTTAACTATTAGATTAAACAGTTTTCTGTTAATTTAAGGGTGGGAATCTGTAATTTGTGAAACTAAGGGAGGGAACTTAAAATTCGCCAAACCATGGGTGTGAACATGTCGTTTACTCATTTGAAAATCAAGGAGTGACTTAAAACTGCTTGTTTTCATGGAAAAGCTTTTATAAGCACTCCTGATAACATCTTTTCCTTTTAAATTTTGGGATATTTGAACCTTTTATAACCTGTCTCTTTAATACAGTATTAATGTCTTTTTTTTTTTCTTTTTTCTCTTCATTTTTAATTTTATTTTTTCTAGACAACATAAGCTTAGCTGTTCGTGCTTCTGAAGATGAAAGTTGAATGAAACCACCTCTACATACGCATTAAATTGCATGTTTCAAGCTCTAATTATGTACTTGAATTGTATTTACCAATGAATTATCTTATAATTTTCAAATTAATGTAGTTGGTGGAAATTGATATAAGAGCAGCAATAGAAGTCTCCAATTGATGCATATGAATCACTTGTAGCTTCTGATTTGAGCTGTGGAATGAATCAATTATATGCTATATCGGTAAGTTATTTTAATAATGTAAAACAATATTTTCATTTAGATAATGTGAAGAGTTGTAGCTTGCTATTTACATAAATTAGCGTTTCTAATTTTTTTTTTCATTTAAAATTTTAGTTTGTCTAGATTATTGGACTTGGCATATAGAATCTCAAGAAGTGATTTAAGCTGTTTTGTTTTCATGGAAAAAGTTTTGTTATAGTTCTCGACAACTGTCTCCCTTTATATATTTTTTTGCATTTTCTTATAATTGGTAGAACCTTTTATATGCAGCTTAAGTGTTTGATGTCCTCCTTTTTCTCTTTCATTTTTTTTTTTTTTTTTTTTAATTTCTTCTAGATACAATAGATGCTAGCTATTCGTGCATCTGAAGATGAAGTCACCTCTACATATTCATTAAATTGTATGTATCAAGCTCTAGTGATGTTCTTGCAATTGTGTTTTCTTTACTTTTTAAATCTTGTTAATTTAATTCTCATTCTCACAATTAATATCTTATTTCCAAATTAACATCGTTGGTGGAAATATATATTAGACTTTGTAAGTATATTTGTCAACTTATGAGTTTAGTGTGGTAATACTAATTTTGATGTGGGGACTTTATATTGTATTTGCATAACTATTTCTGTTTTGTTCCAGTGTCATGACTCTTTGTGTTGATGTGACCACACTCAGTTAAGTCTATTTCATGCATGTCGTGTGGGCATATTAGAGTCCGTGTGATAACACTCGCCTAGCCAGATATCCCTTACACATGTTGTGTCTTTATTTGTTGTTAGGATTTTATCCTTATCTAAGACAAGTGTAAGTGGTCCTTGTACACATGTAATTAGCTCATATAGTGTACTAGAAAATTCGTTTTGCTTTTTAAGTGGTCCTAAAAAGTTTGGTGAAAACTTTCCCAAGATGGCTACACACAAAAGTTACATGTTGGCTGGTTGTCCCCTTGCATTGGTCAACAAGTTTCTTTATATTCGTCTTCTCTAATGTATTACATTTTAAGCCTAAATATATCTCTGATAATCCTTTGCATATTCCTTGAGGTTTCCTTTGTTTTTATTTAGGTTTCATATGCTTAGGTAGGCTTACAAATACATTTGTTAAACTTTGTTTGTTTATGGCTGGAACGTTGTTCCTTATTGATGCTTGATGGAGTTTCAAACTTTTAGAGCTGAAGTGTGTCTTTGGTGTTGAACCTTGAAAGAGCTCAAGGCTAATCAGGTGGTCTCGTGCATAAAGCTAGCTATGGTGGCTTGATGTTCAACTAAGGAGTGAAGATAGAAGTGTTGTCATAAACAAGAAATGTTTTGCAACTGATGCTTATCTTTAGCTTTGTATTTGTAACACTAAACGTTTATCATAGTAGATTAGTTTCATCTGGACTTGGTCCCATGGATGAAGGCAAGTTGCCGAACCATGTAAAAATCTGTTGTATGCTTTACTTTTTGGCATGGATGATTTGTTTGTGTTGATGATGATTAAGCCAACACATAAGCACAAAATGAACAAGTTAACTCATTCCGCATAAGTTTAATCAACTTGGTAAAGTGATAAAACTTCTGTTTGGTACTAGAGCATTAGAGATGGGCATTTTGCCCCCGTGATGGGGATCCACGCTGACTCGACTTGACCCAATTGGGGCAGGGATTCCCCAAATTTCACAAGTGATGGGTTAGGGATGGACAGAAAAAAAAATCCTCGCTCTAGGGACGGGGTGGGTATGGGGATCAGTTTGCCCCACCCCCAAAAATCCCCATAAAACTTTGACCCATGTCGTCCCCGACCACCCGGTGAAAACCCCGCCCCGCCTCGAAATTTAATTTTGATATTCTATATAATATTTTAAAATTTAGTGAATTAATTCAATACAATTTAATTACTTAATAATCTAATCACATTGTAATTAAGTAATTAATTACAATTTTATTAAATCATTAATTAATCCATTAAAAGTTTACAATTTGTAAATTTATTACACTATTACATAAACTAAGGTAATTGAGTTTCTCTTCTAAGTAAGTCATCTAAACTTTAGGAAAATTTTAGGAGAAACCTATATTAGAAAAATAAATATCAAATTGAAAAAATTCTGTTATCTTTCTAATTAATTAATTATTTATTTATTAACATTGTTTTATTTTACACATATTCTATTATCATGTCTCTCTAATCAATTAATTAGTCATAAACTTTATTAACATTGTTTTATTTTCATTCAATGATTCACCAAGACTTGATGCAATGATGTATGATGTATCAATCTTGATTTTTATTTTAATTAATTACTCATAAATTGCATTAATAGTTTTTGATATTTCTTTAAACCTTTTTCATTAAAAAAAGTAATTAAATCAAATAATTGACTATAATTTATGAGTTATCAAATATCAATCTTGATATTTAATTTTGATATTCTATATAATATTTTAAAATTTAGTCAATTAATTTAATACAATTTAATTACTTAATAATCTAATCACATTGTAATTAAGGCTCCGACAGGAAGGATAGAGTAAGCATGAGTTTTATCAATCAAAGCAAGGAGCTGTGTGTAGAGGTTGTGGAGTTACTTAAGTAGCATCCTTAGCCAATAAGAGCTCAACCACTGTGTGTGTGCCATTGACCGATACTC